AAGCAATTTGAGAGGGAACAGAATGCAGGTGAAATATGGAGGTGATGGAATACAGGCTGAAAGTGGGGTGTGTGGAGCAGAACCTTGAGCAAATATGCGGGAAGAATGCAGGTGGAATAATGGGGTGCATTGAAGTTCAATATGCGGGAGCCCTAGGAGACCGTGGTTGGCTGGTGTAGGGAGGAGAGTGCGGCTGCCTCCCTGCCCCCAAATCTGGGAGAGCAGGATGGAATGAAGGGGCTTTGGACGGGAAAGAGGGGGCTGGTTTCTGGGGAATGTAGCATGAGGGTTGGGCTGGAATATGTGGAGTGGGAGGTTCTGCAGAGAAGAGGGGAGAGGGAGCCCAGAATTCCCTGGCCATCTGTGGGACAAGTGACGGGCAGCTGGGGTCAAGGAGGTCGTGTGGAGCGGGCACGGGTGTGGGATTTATTCCATCAGCAGTTACTGAGCGCTTAGGATATGCCTAGAGGAGGGGATGGGGCCGGGCAGCCGGTGAAGTTTGTGGAGGTGAGAGAGGTGTAAGTGTGCAAGGGGAATTGAGTTTAGGCAGAGTATTCGGGGGCTCAATGTCTGGGATGAGGGCGGGGTGGGGGCTAAGGATAAGGCCGTGGGATGCCGAAAGGGGCTGGTCTTCGCGGGGTGGATATGGGGGGTTTCTGCCGGGCAGTGGGGAAGGGGGAGTTGGCGGCGGGGATGCGGTGTGGCGCGCCCCCTTCCTCTGTGCGGTCTCCTCCCGGGAGTTGGGGACCACAAGTGGGGGCGGTGATGCTGTGCGGCTCCTCAGGTGTTCAGTTGCGTGGGTGCCTCCTACGCCTTGGTAACCCGGCGGCGTCGCCGCTGATTGGTTCTGGGAGCCGTAGGGGGTCGGGTTGATGGGCGGGGTTTAGGACACCCAGTGGGGCGGGGCCAGCTCTGCCACTCACTGCGTTGGGATCAGGGGATGTGGGATATGTTGAAACGTGCAGCAATTTGTTTGCAGCGAGATTGAGATTATTATTTTTTATTTATTTGTTTTTTTTTTCTGAGACAGAATCTTGCTCTGTCACCCAGGCTGGAGTGCAAGGGCACGACGGCGTGCAGCAACCTCCGCCTCATGGGTTCAAGCGATTCTCCCGTCTCAGCCTCCCGAGCAGCTGGGATTCCAGGTGCCTGCCACCACGCCCAGCTAATTTTTGTATTTTTAGTGGAGACGAGGTTTCACCATGTTGGCGAGGCCGGTCTCAAGCTCCTGACCTCAAATGATGTGCCCGCCTTGGCCTCTCAAAAGTGCTGGGAGCCACTGCATCCGGCCGAGATAGAAATTATTAACCTGGACTTATGAACCACCAGAGAATGAAAGCACAATTGCCAGAGTGTGACTTTTCCAGGGGAAGGGGGTCCTCGAATTCCTCAGCCCTTCCAAAGCACTGTTCTCCCAAATGAAGTTAAGAGCTGTGATCTAGAGAGAGGTGTCTGTCAGGATGTCTAGGGCCCAGGCCATTGCCCTTGGGCCTCTGAGAAAAGAGATCTATGGATGGGCCTGGCGGGTGGTAATTTGGGAGCCCCTGAAATGAACTTGCAAAAGGTGGGACTATTCATTTATCTGCGGAAGGCTC